TATTCGTACTGCCGTTGTTTAGTTCTCTCCTTAAAGAGGGGTGTAGTTAGGGGGTGGAAATAGAGAGATAGAGAGAGAGAGAGAAAGAGAGAGAAAGAGAAAGAGGACGAGGAGAGTAGGAGGACCACGCGAGGGTGGTTAAGCGAGAGAATCGGAGGTGGGTCGACCGATGTATGAATATACATGACCTTACCACCAACCCTTACACCGCAACGGGCTCTGCTTACATTATTGTATATCTAATTCCGCGGACGGTTCTCAGAATTCGGCCTTACACGAGGAACCTTCTCAACGACGTATGCCAGACGTCAGACGAACGTGAGAACCTCTGCTGGTTTCACGACGTTATGCAGCCAGTCTACATATTATACATTCGGACTGGGATTCAATTAAGTTTGGTTAGACCAATCCCTTCCGCTTTCCTCTCTACCTTTCTTTCTCGACTTTGTCTATCTTTTTTCTTTTTTTTTTTTTTATTCATCCCTCCATCGTCTTATTCTCTGCAATTCTATTTCCAGCAAAAATTTCTAACCCCCTACTCGTATCTCGAGTATATATTTAGAAAAAATCTTCTCTCTCTCTCTCTCTCTCTCTCTCTCTCTCTCTCAGTAACGTAAATATTAAACTAACTTTATCTGTTAAAAAATTAACGCAAGAATGAAATGATGTTCTACCATGTAATATGAAGAATTAAGTATAGTTATCGTAGATAATAGAAGCGAAAAGCAAATGATATATTTACATCTCCATTATAACGTAATTAAGTGTTCTCGTGATGAGATAATTAATATCGAATGTGACGTTGGAAACGTGTGATCTGTAGATGCGTACGTATAGTTTAATACATACGTGTAGAGATGATGCACGTAGAAAATCAACTTTCTCTATCTCGAGGACAATAGCATACGATTTGAAGATAAAGGAGATGATATTAGGTAGTAGGCGACCAAGGATTGAGGATATAGACTATAGCACGTCGTCGGTGTGACGTCATGCGGAACTACTCGAAAAGGTGGATAACGGTAGAGTAACGCCCGTATGTGGCGCGCTTCGTACTTCGATATACAACCGGATAAGTAATTAGTGGAAGCACGTGGTGCAGAGTCGATATAGCCAACTCCTATGCACGTTGTAGGTACGGGTAGTAGGTACCATTCTCTGCGTGCTTGTTTGCTTGCTTGCTTGCTTGCTTGCTTGCCTGCTTGCCTGCGTGCTCGCGTTCGCTTTTCCTGCGTGTGTCGGAAAAGGGTGGCCTACCTTCTCTCTTCCTACGACAATCGAATAGTCGAAGGGTGAAGAACGACGGATAAGTAAGAGTGCGAAAAGGATAGACTGACTAATACTGGTAACAAAACTAAATGAAAGAGAGAGATACGTATTACGAATTAGACAGAGTTCGAATGAACGACGAAGAATAAATGTAAGGAAAGAAAGAGATAGATGGATAGAGAGATATAGATATATATGTAGAGAAAAAGGGGAAGGAAGAGAAAGAAAGAGAGAGAGAGATAGAGAGAGAAAGACCCTACAATAATGACAGAAAATTGCGCGCTTCCAGCTTACACCACGCACAACGTCGAAACTTAATTCAATTCGATTGCGATACAGTTCAATAATTCGATTAATTAAAAAACACGACAGGGTCGCTCAGTATTAGTAAATGTTGGAGTCTTCAGATAGGAAAGAGATCTACGTAGAATATTATCGGTAGATAAAGATGCGAATAATAAGCAGAGTTAAATTCGTTCGAACGAGGCCAGTTATAGCGACGATTGGGAACCCCTGGCTAAGAGGCGCGGCATATCGATAGGGGAATTAGCTGATAGCTGAAACGTACCACTCGCATCATCTGTGATTACTTGATTATGAGTATCGAGTGAGCGATGTTTCTGAAATTCTACGGCCACCCGATTCTCTTCTTCTCCGAGTATACGTACGTATAAATGTGAACGTATATGCACATAGAGATATACGCGCGCGCGCACGTGTGTGCATGCATGTAAGTACATATACATAGATAGGTATACAGTACACATATAGGAGTTTACGCATATAGTCAATGGCATAAAATCGCGCGCGCGAGCGAACTCCGCTTATTGGCTCTGCTTTTGAATCTTCCGATACCCATCCCTTTCTCCTCTTCTCTTCATCCCTTTCGTGACCAGAACGACGTACCCTCCTCCACCCTATACCCTTTCTCTATCTCTCTCTCTCTCTCTCTCTCTATCCACCCTTCTCGAATCGAACGACCTCCTCCTACACACACCCTCGTCACGGTTCCGAGGATGCGAGGTACCACTTGACTCTTAAAAACCCTATTAACTGACGGTAATAGAGAAATCGTGCTTTCACAGACTGTTTCACCGTCAAGAGAACGAGGAAAGAGGAAGAGAGAAAGAGAGAGAGAGAGAGAGAGAGAGAGAGAGAGAGAGAGACAGAGAGAGAGAGAGTGAGAGAGAGAGAGAGAGGGAGAGAGATAGGCAGATAGGTAGATAGATAGATAGATAGGTAGGTAGAATAAAATGAACGAACATTTTTCTCGACGCCAACGTTTCTAATATCCCAATTCGGTTCTTGTTTTTGGCAGATCACTTAACAAGATTTCTTACGAAAGAAGAACGGATCTAATGAAAGGAAAAGATCGTGTAAGTGTACATATGCAGTGAGTCACGGAAGTATTCGTACCCCCATTGTCTATAAACATAAACATATATTTTAAGATTATTGTACTCATAAATTAATATACATTTTATTGCGAGAGAGAACGTTTTATTATAAGAGAAGAAAAATTTAACATAACTGATAAAAAATACGCCTCACAATCGTTTCAAAAACGTTTTAAGATTCAAGGGTTGATTAATCAAGTATTATTTACGCAAAATAATAATCGTATTTTTATTATATCTTACGTAGATGCAAAAGCTCTTTCGAGACGAATTTTCTTATCATTTATGTGAATTTATATTTCTCCAAGAATAAAATGTTTCTCCGTGTAATAAAATTTATATCAATTTAAATGTTTATTAAATCTAGAAATAGATTGCTCTATATGAGAATTTGAAAGCTTCGCATTACAAACAAATATCAATTATTTGAAATTTACAGCGAGGGCGGGTACGAATAATCCTGTGACTCACTGCACATAGGTGTAGGTATAATTTGATGGTGTTTTGTTGCGCACGCGAAATTCGATGCGGTAGGTGGACGTAGAAACGTTTCTTCGCGTGAGATTCGATCGTTCGTTGCATTAATTTTACCGTTAGAGGAAAAGGCGAGTTTGAGAAACCTGTTTTGAGTTTTTGCGATTAAGGGTTACCGTTTTATTGCCACGTAACGGAGCGCCGTTGATAGCGTCGACGTTACTGATATCGCTTGGTAATCGACCACTAATGAGTGTTAATGAGAATCATTGATTTTCATAGAAGATTCGTCATCGATTATAAATACTTTATTCCTATTTTAAAATCATATTTTTCAATGCAAATGTCGTGGGAACGATATTATTAAATCGTTTATCATTTAACAACGTATATAATTTTTTCTTAACATTCGCGGTTCAATGTTTCGTTTACAAACTTGCCTAGAGACGTATTCGAAATGATCGCAATGAACAGATCGTTTGTTTACGGATAAAGACGAGTGTCAGTTCTAAACGAATACCGAGAGAGAAAAGCAGACATGCCGAGATAATGAACGAGTTCAATAAAAATTGTAAGTAATTTCAATTTATATATTAGTACTTTCGATTAATTTATAATATATGTATATTTTTTGACTCACGATGAATTCGTTGTAACGAGTGAAATGAAAATATAAGAAAAAAAAAAAAAATAAAACATGAAACGGAACCTTTTTTTTCCCTCGCTCTCTCCCTCTCTCTCTTTCTCCCCATTTGGAAGATGTAAAATTTTAACAAAGAATAAGAAATGGGCGATAGTCTTTTGAAACGAGAGAAATCTCGAGGACGACGAGCTCCGAGGTATTCTCGAGCAGCATTCGACGATATTATAATCTCAGGCCGGTGTCATAATGATAATAACAACGCGTTAATTAAAGCCGCTGATTTATGCGCCTTTCATATTGTAATTGCTCACCGAACTCGAGTCGACTCGCGAAAAGAGAGAGAGAGAGAGAGAGAGAGAGAGAGAGAGAGAGAGAGAGAGAGAGAGAGAGAAAGAGAGACAGAGAGAGTAAGAGAGAGAAAGATGCAGATGAAGAGCGAGAGAAAAAGAGGGAAAGTAGAACCAACGGTTTCTGGCAATCTCTCGCTCGGGGTGCTGAGATAATACGAACGAATTAATGAGTCAAGCCGCAATTAATATGAAGCCGTTCGAGGCACGACCGTCGTACGATAATAAAAAACAAAAAAAAATGAAGAAAAAAAAAAAGACAAAAAAACGAAAAAGAAATAATAAAAAAAGAAAGAAGCTTACCTTACGCCCGTCATCGACAGCCTCGAAAGGAGATGAATCATTAAGCGAGGAATTAATATAAACGGTGGCTCGAATTATCCTGAACACAATGAATAATTCTACTTCTTTATAATTCGTACTGTTTGTTTCCCGCGACAACCAGAGCATATTATTTCGACGACTCTTTCCAAGAAAACTTTAGTGGAGAATTTTTTGTCCTTATCGAAATATAATAATAATAATAATAATAATAATTTGATTTAAACACCCGGGGAGTACAAATTAAGTTAAATTTAAACATTGTATCTTTCACGTGTATGTACAAATTCGTCGATCAAGTTTCGGAAGTTTCTTCTTTTATCCTAAGAGAAGTAACAATTACGTACGATTTAACGCGCGCTTTACTAAGAGAAAGAGGAGAAAAGCTCGAAACGAGATGGCAAGCGCAAATCGCTTATTTACACCGTGAACGGTGTAATACGCTCGCCCCGAGGCCATATTTAGTTTACCATCCCAGGGGTGTATAATGTCTTTTTAGGTACGTTAATTAACAGTATTCATTTTGCACAAAGGTTTCTAATTACGCACTGTACGGAGCCATGGACTTAGTACCGACGCAACCCTCTTCCCTCCTCTTTTGCCCTTCTCTCTCTCTCTCTTTCTTTCCTCGAAAATGTTATGTCCGGAGTAGAGTCGCACGATTCGCTGGCTGCGTGTCTTCTAAGGAAAATCAAAATTAAGGCATTCGAAAGGATAGTTCGTCAGTATGGATTTTGCAGATTTTGAGTGGGATGATATCGAAATGAAGAAAATGAGACGATAGAAAAGGAAACGGTAGTGAAAGGGTGACAAATATAAGGAGAGAGAAGGGAAACAAAGAAAATGAGAGGGAAAATATAAGAGAATCGATGCTTCATTGGTCGAGGACGAAATCAGAACGCTCGGTCGCGTTGCCTCGCCCCGCGTCGGGTCAATACTTGTCCGGTCGCCTCAGTTAGCAGTCGCATTAATTAATTATAATTAAGTTTTAGTTGACGCGGCGGCTTGGAGCAGCGAGGGGTAAGCAAGGCAGGTAGCTACGCGACTCGCATTTTGAGCATTACCGATATTATGCAGATTTCAACAGTCAGCAGCAGCCCTCTTCTCCTCTTCTCCTCTAAACTCGAATCCCTCTCTTTCGTCCTCCTCCTCCTCCTCGTCCTGACCCAGCCATGACTTCGTATTCCTCGTCTCTCATTTTCCCTTTTCTCTTCCTTGGCATCTTTCTCTCTCTCTCTCTTTCTCTCTCTCTCTCTCTCTCTCTCTCTCTCTCTCTCTCCATGTATATATATATATCTCTTTTTCTTTCCATTTAGAATACTCCTTCCGTTCGAAGAAACACGATCGTTACTCGTGTCAGGTGCTAAACGAATCGCAGAATAAATCATTTAATATTTTATGCCGCTTAAAAGCATTATTCCTATTCGATACTTTCTGTCTTACACGATTTTTCACATGGATATATAAAAACACATCTTTTAAAGAATATTCTTTTAATAGACAGATTTTCTCTTTCTTTTTGTTTACAGGACACTTAGATCGAAATATCTTTTTTCTTGTTCGTATCCGAAACAGGAAATTTAATAATTCACTCTCGACTTTTCTTATTGGATATAAATATTCGTACGAGGAAGGTACAATCATCCGATAGCTAACTATTTGGAAATATAACAACTCCTTGGACTAAACGTCAGACGTAGTACCGAGATTACGTGGCAACTGCACGTCGACGTAAGAAGCTGTTAATCTTCGGTAATAAACTGTATTTTCATTATAATACTGCATGAATATGCAACGGCGATAATGGCCTTAATATCCCGGCATGCATCTTCCTGTGCTTTACGAGCTGAGCCTCTTCTGCCTGAATTTGAGGTGCACTCACAGTGGATTTTCTTCTCAACCCTTTTACACACAGTCTTATGACTCCAAGAATTTCGGTAATTTGACTTTCCTTATTTTTTTTTTGTTTTTATTCAAATATATGGTATTTATATCGTACATATCGATGAATGATCGTACCAACGCTGTCCAGAATAATCGGATTTACTTTTCGGAATACTTTGTTATAACGACGGAAGCGTTGAACTTTTTACATCTCGCATTTTCTTTTTTTTCTTTTTATTTTAAATCTTTACGACGAAAAAACGGAGCTTCTTATTTTTACTCGACGTCGTCAACTTTGCCAATTTCCTGATACGTCTCTTTTCTTGAGATACGACGATAGAAACGCGATCTTTTTTTTTTTCATTGAAAGATGATTTCCCGTCTCTCTTTCTCTTTGTTATTTTTTGTTGTTGTTCTTCTTTTCTTTGTTTACCATCGTTTTCTTTCTTGATTTCTTTGTAAAATCAAACGAACGTGGAATTGAGGATCCATCGAGAATTCAAGCTTGTAATGGACACGATATATCTCCCATCGTTGTTAATGCGAGGTAACTTAATGTAAGCAGCGAGCGAAGGAATAATAGTGGCCCGGCCTACGGACATTCATTTGTCTTAGTTTATTGCCAACTGCGAGGAAACAAACACCGCTGGAATACGCAACGACGCGCCATTAACCTCTCGCTCGCGTTACCAAGCTGAGCTTAACGGGTGTCCTGTTCTTCCATTTCCCTCTTGCAGATTTTCCTGCCTTCTTCATCGCGGACCAACTTGGTGGTATAGTTTTACATCCTATCTACCTGACCGTTGTACCTTCTTTCTCCTAACGTTTCTCGACTAAGTGGACGACGGCACCTATTTTGGATACATGTACGTTTAATAATAATCGACTATGCGAACAGTTTTAATTATGAAGATTTTAAACATACGTTTTATACAATTGATACATCATGTTTTTCTATCTTTTTAATTGTTACAACTGTTGCACGTTTTACGAATTCACTAACATTTTAATTATCGTTTCCCATCATTTATTTCCAATATGAATAATGTAATATTTTGTTGCGATATAATATATTGTTTGTTCAAAAGGGTCTAATGCATATTCGTAAAATAAAAAAATTGGCAGAGCTACTACCTACGGGGTCCCCTTCGAAATAAACTTTTCTCTTATATTTAATATTCCGAAATTGTCACGCGTTTTAAATTACGAATTACCAATTAAATAAATTTTCCGTACCGGACAAAAAATCATTATCGGAAAAAAGAAAGTTTGTGTGTGTGTGTGTGTATAAAAAAATTGTCCCGCAGTTTAATCCCGAGAACAAATGAAAATAAATCCCTTTTAAAATCCGAAAGGACTGACGCGTTAAAATGTACTAGCTAGAGTGCACGGACATGTAGGAAAAAGCCATAGACAGAAACGTACGATCGAATTTGCCAGTACGCCAAAGACGAGAGAAACACGACGAATTCGAACGGGGTGATCGACTAGGTTGGGTGGCAAAGAGGCGGCAACAGGGAGGAAAACGAGGACGAGGAGGGATGGGGACGGAGGGGAAAGAAGAGGGTGAACGTCGCGTAATTAGCGGCCATCGTCGTCGCTCGCGTTGGAAAAACGTTGTTTTCTAGCGAAACAAATTAGACCGGCGCGTCACACAAGCGAATAAATTTAGGGAATGTTTTTGGGAGAGTAGCAGAGAACGAGAGAGAGAGAGGAAAGGAGACGAGTGGAGAGGAGAGAGGAGTATAGAGAGCGTGCTGTTCCTGTTTGTGTGTGTGTGTTGTATGCGAGGATGAAAGAGAAAAAGAATGACAGTGTGTGCTGAATGAAAAAAAAGAAAAAACAAGAAACAAAACAAAAAAAAGAAAGGGGGAGAGAAAGAGTGAGGAAAAAGAGGAAAAAAGAAAGTGTTTCTACCGTAGGATATAATGGGGCGCATTGCGCGGGAACATAATGAGATTTTACAGTGCAATTCACATAAAGCATTGGTAACGACAAAAGAACCGAGTTAGAATGAGAGAGAGAGAGAGAGAGAGAGAGAAAGAGAGAGAATGAGGTTGACGGCTATGAGAGAAGTATTAAAGCGAGGGGTAGTAGAATGCGATAAAAATGCGCGTTTCTAAACGCATTATTTCCGTTTCCCACTTTCGACGAAAACATTATCGTTTTTCATTAAATTCCAGTAGACCGATTGTACGTTAATCTCGTTAATTCTAAACATTTCGTGTATCGTCGCGAAAGAATAATTTTTTGTTCTATCTCTACTGAACCCGGTCGATCGATGTTTGTTCTAGCCAAAGAATAATCTCGACGCCCCCCCCCTCCCTGTTCGGTACTACGTAGAGACAGGATCCGGAACGTAGTGTCAAAGGACTAATAAGAAGATCGTGAAACGATCAAAGTGATCATCGCCGTCGATCTGCATCGATGCGTTCACCTTCCTGCTCTCGGTGACTTCCCCCTTCTCCCTCCGACTTTTCAGCCTACATCCAGTCCGAAACAAAAAGCACCCTCGCGCGAACCTCCCTGCCACCTCCGAGACCTCTCGCGCCCGACGAACAGGTGGCCAACTTCGGATCTCTTTTTTCCCGCCGAAACCATTTCCAGAGCTTCCCGGCTACGATGAATAACCCTTTGAACGGGTACCCCGTTCGCATGGACGACGGCGGTGCCGAGGAGAAGAGAGAGGAGGGGGTGGGTGGGTGTTAGAGGACGCAAGCCTCTCTCTCTCTCCCTCTCTCTGAAAGGGAAAGAGAGCGGGGAAAAAAAACGTGGCAGAGAAAAGAAAAAAAGAGAAAAAGAAGCAGGAAGAAAGCGGAGAGAAAGAGGGTGGGTGGGGAGGGGATCGTTAGGTAGGGCTTAAGAGGGGGATGGAAAAATTGGAGGGTGCGTTTCGTCGTAGCCTCCGTCGATAAATTTTGAATGCACCCGCCGGTCGAATTAGTATACCGACTGGGTAATGATCAAAAAAAATTATAAACAAAAGATTCCACGGATGGCGAGCCTTTTTCGTGGATCAACGAGGCAAGTGGACGTGGTGGCTACGGCGAAAAGCTTTGACGGTTGGACGGCGCTTGCCACGATGTTGGTGGTGTTATTGTCGCTGGTGTTGACGGTAGTAACTCCCTAACATGATTGGTGTCGGTGACGATGGTGTCGGATGTCTTTCTCTCTCTTTCGCTCTCATTCTCATTGACGCCGAAACCTACACCGGGGCCGCTATATTTAAAAATCGGCGCGTTCTCTTGGAAACTCACGCTACAAAGGGAAGGGACCAACACCGTTTATATCGAGTTTATTAAAATCGTGCTATCGCCGTTCTCGGTTAAAATACGTAGCCGACCGCGAACCTACGAACTCGATCAACACGTCCATGTGTATCTTCTTTCTCTTTCACTCTCACTCTCACTTTCTCTCTGTCGACCTGACGTTTATTTTATCTACGTCAAACAATATCCTCTTTACTTCTTTTTTATCTCCCTACCCTTTGTTCCCTTCTTTTCGATCATTCTTTACAAGTATCGGTAAGATAATCATCTTTTTTTACCTTTTTTATCAATATTATAATCCTATAATACCGAGGAGTGCTTATTCTTGTCACATTATTATTAATCTATTTTCGAGGACATTACTATTAGTATATTATATTTGTAATGAAGATAAATTTGATGATATAATAGAGATCCTCTTTTGAATTTGTTGTTAATCGTTAACGAGTCCTCGCGATATTATATTTGACAGGGAAATATTTGTACATCGCGCGTACGAGAATATTATATTGATAATTTTTCATTATC